ATGCTGAATTTATTGGGACTGGAAAGCTGCTTTATGAAATCATGATTTTCCCATTGTTCTATAAGCAATACAATCCATTTGACAGGCCCACTTCTTAAAGGCCAAAAATCAAGCATTATTGAAATTTGCTCCCAGGTTTGTTACCAGTTTTGAATGTATCCATTAAAAATATTATTAATATACAATTTTTTGTTTTCCTCTGGATATTCCAAAAGCCTGTCATTTAAATATAAAAGCCGTCCATTGAATATTGGGCATCGCGCTTGCGTCATCCCAATGCTTGTATCTGGAGGAAAGGTATTGAAGCTTTAGGATAAGCTATGCTAATTTGTCACACGTAATCCTATATTCTAGACGTGCATAGCTCACATGCTTGTCTGCAATGTGCAGGAAATGGCATAAGTTGGCATTAATCACGCCTCAACACCTAAATTTGTTTTACGCATTCCATCAAAAATAATCTTGAAGTAACGGACATAACAGGATTCTGAAAATGGAATGACTATCATCAGCAGCAGGAAAACAATTCGACGGCACTTCAAAATGCTGGAAAAGAGCAATTGACACAGGAAATTACATACGCCGTTGTCCTCTCCGGGACGCCAAGTTCCCAAGCATGACTAATGGTGCGGCGAGAGGATTGGTTTGTTAGCGTGAGGTGATGGCGGTTCAAGGACCTTCCAAGAACCAAGGAAGTTCAAGGACGAGTAAGGCTGCGACGTATTTACGTTAAGGTTCGTAAATAAGGCTGCTGGGATTCTGTTGAGGTTCGTGCCGGAAGATTGCTGATCGATTTCAAGAAAATGTGAGAGGATTTCGTGGACGATTTTCAGAGCGATTTTGCTGGTGCAGTGGGTGCGGTGGCTGGCATGAACAGTCAGAGAAGAAAAGCAATTGAGCCTGCGCTTTGGTCAGGGCGTGACTCCGGTCAGAGTAAAAGGGGAACTGAGGTTGTCCTCAGACGTAGACGCGAATCCGGTCCGAGAAGAAGGGAACTGAGGCTGTGCTCAGAGGTAGACGCGGGTCCGGTCAGATAAATATGGGAACTGAGGCTGTGCTCAGACGTGGGGCGTGGATGCGGTCACGCCTAATCCACGACAAGTTTCTGCAGTGGATGTACGGTCCATTTGCGCTGTCCCTTGACGCGAGGGGGTGAAGAAAAGGTTCTGGCAACGTTAGAAGGATATTGCGACCACTACAGGTGCTAGCGGTCTTGCCGCAGCTGATAGGCTGAGCTGGATATGTGATGCGGTACAGAGGCGGACGGCGCAAAAGTCTCTTGTAGACAGCAGAAGCACCTCTACACTGCTCGCGCCGACAACGGGAAGGGTCCTGGACTGAGCCATAAAGCCAAGCTGGAAATGGAAAAGCTGCTCTCGGCTGGTATCTCCCAGCCACTGCAGGTGTGTTATTTGAACTGAATGTTGACAACCGATTAGGTGCAGTCGGGTCCACATCATTTGACCCCACATAGCAAGTCTGTTCTGTTTGTACTTCATACCTAATGCTGAAAATTAGCCATTTCACTAGTATGACGATCTGCCCTCCGCCCCCCCCCCCCCCCCCCGGTTTCGAAAGAGACTACAACCCGTGAATTGAGCAGGCCTCTGTAAGTTAAGAGAAATGTTCCACATTTGAAGATATTGAAGTAATCACCAGATCTCATGAAATAAGCTCTCTCATAACACTTGAGATACTTTTAAGAGGACAAGGATGCTCTAGACAGCACGATTTATTTGCGAAGTAAATACGCCCTTCAGTGCGTCTTTGTTATTGTCATCGTACCTCGCACAACATTGATTCATAGCCAGCTGACGGTCGTTGTGTCTAAAAATCGTGCTCATGAACGGCAGATATGAACAACTTGACCGCTATATTTTCTTGGCCTTGATGGTCGCATGGCTAATGGAATGACAAGATTTAAATGACGTCATTATGATGTCATGAATGCCTTGGTGACCTTGAAGTAAGTGTCCCGATATATTCTGTACATGTTCGTGGGCGTGTAACGCAGCAAATGGAATGGTTTCGGTGTTAAAAAGGGCAGGGCTGTGAGCTACATGTAATGGTCTTCAAGATGGCTCCTTGAATTAAAGACCCCATATAAATGTGGAGCATTCCCTTTAAGCGTCAGTTTTGTCTCTTTCCACTTGGTCCCTCGCCCAACCATCTGGGCGTGCAAGACTACCTATTCACCTGTCCTTGGTAAGGTCACGATGCGTGAAAAGAAAACCTGAATAGCTGTTTGACCTGAAGCCATTGGGCCATTAGGCGGTGGCCTGACCTTATCAGTAGCTGCTATGTGACCTGTTTCACCAATTGAATGAGGAGGTGACTGTGTCTGTGGCTGCTGCATAAGGTTTGACAGGGAACCTGTCTGAGGTATCCTGACTGTGGTCTGGTTGGCCTGTCAGGTAGCGGCCTGGCAATTCCTGTGGTGCTGCATGACCTTGATGAGCTGTCTAGTAGACTAGTAGTGCCTGGACCATGCCTGTGGCTGCATTGCGACACGTCGGATGGTGGGTGGTAACCTGACTGTATGATCTGGTTAGCCTGGCAGGTGGCCACCTGAGTGTGGGATCAGGTTTTTAACATGATCATGTCTGCTGTATGTGTATATATATATATATATATATATATATATATATATATATATATATGTATGTATATATTACGACATGTTGGTTGTACCTTACAGCAAATTTCGCGTGTATGACCTGGATCGTTTGTTCAATGTTTCGCGCAGTGCGCTTGTTGCTTTCATGACGCCGGCTGAGACTCGTTGATTAACCAAAACCAAACAAAAGTAAGTTCAAACAGACCAATGTAGTGAAGTGTTTCCCATGTCCTACCGGGGACTGTGAGGTGCGCAGTGTGAACTACATTGACGTGACTATAACAAAGCTCAGCCGACGTTTCACCTTCCTGGACCTTAGCTTGCTCAGCCAACCTCAACCTTGTCTGTGCCGCCTCCCGCACTTGCGGGAGGGGGCACCGAAAACACATGCACGTAGACACCACAGCACGCCAGTCACCAGACATGAGTAAGCCAAGAACACCATAATCCTTGCACACATCACAAACCATAGACGCCTCACCACACTTGAATCATCACGCACCAGAGACGTGGTATCCATCAACATACAAAACCAAAACGCACACAACTACCACTTCACGACACGCAGCTGAAAGGACGGACCCTCGTGATGCAAGCCTACGGGACCAGCAAACTTTCAACTCGATACGGTGAAAATGTAAAACTTTCAAAGATACAAGTGTGCCTGAAATTAGAGCATGTGTGTTGACTGTACAGTGTTATCGGCTCTTGACCTCGTAAGAGGTATCCGTGAGCTAATCATCGTGTTTGTGGAACCATCATCGTGGAAAACGTGCAGTAAATGTGGTGGCAAAAATCAATTTGCAAAAATGTGCAAAAATCGCCAGGTGGACGAGTCCAATCTCAGGAAGCGAGGGATTGCCACGAGAGACGAAATCGCACGTCATGATTTTGCGTTCACGCCTGGTAATGGCGTTGAAAACAGTGATCGGCTGACGGAAGTAAAACTGAATGGCCAGATTATAAAGACACTGGTCGACACTGGAGCATTAGCGGACATTACAGTCAGCAAAGACCTTGTAAAACTGGCCGGCATCAAAGCGGCAAAGACGAACCGGCGACTGCTACCGCATGGATCAAAAATCCCGCTGAAGCTGGACGGTCAATTCTTGACAACGACTATAGCCAACGATCGAGAAGTCCAGAGCCGTTGGCTCATAACAGCTCATCGGCAAGTCTTGCCCCTCAGTAGAATAACAGCAGAACTACTTGGTCCGATAACAACTGGAGGACGTGTCAATCAAGTGACTAAAAAGTGGCCCGCTAGGTTGTCGCTGAAACAAGTCCTCGACGAGCACAAGGAAGTTTTTGATAACAAGTTGGACAGCCGGCCGACATCAAGGCCAGCCCGAACTTAAAAGAAATGTCAGAGCCAGTGTTCAGGAGAGCGAGGCCCGTGCCGCATACGCTGCAAGACGAAGTCGACAGAGAGCTGAAAAAGTGGGAAGACTCAGGGATCAAGTGGGAAGTATCGAATATTCTGACTGGGATACACCCATGACGGTGGTGCCGAAACATGCGGTGGATGTGCGCAAGCCCATCCGGTTCCAAGCGGGCCAAATCTGACGGCCAAGAGTTAGGGCCACTTTATTCTCAGGGGGTGTGAGTTGTTACGTCGGTCATTGACTCAAGCGTTATCGGTTATTGACCTGATGAGAGGTACCCGTGTGTTAACCATCACGCTGAGAGCGAGATAAAATAGTTGTAGGCGTTCTCCGCAAAGAAATAGGTTTTAGTCCAAAATGTAAACTACTCGAATGCAGCGCACTTTTGTATAACTGCAAACTCTGACTTATAACATGATGCAACATGCAAATGTCATTTTTCAAATGCCTGGAGCATGTATTTTGTAGGGATACGATGAAACCAAGCTTCGTACTGGGCTTGTAGCTGTAAGTTCAAAATGTAATAATTACCTTAAAATGATCACCAAACTGATCGAAACGTTGAGAAATAGATATACTTTGGCAACATTCTGCATTGTCACATCGCATACGACAAACGCATTATATTTATATATACACATATCTTTATAAATAAATATATATATATATATATATATATATATATATATATATATATATATATATTTGTCAGGAGTTTTAGCGGGAACAGGTGTCAATTCTGATCACGTCCTGGCTGCCACGGGACTTTGTTCTTGCCTGACCCTCTGTAAAACCTAGACTCTGGAACCATGCGAATGACAACACGTCTACCGGACAGGCATACACAATTCGACAACCAGGTCCAGCCACCTGTCAAACAATAAAGGGCACCTGGAGCGAACCTGAAGGCCTCATGTGGGCAGCTGCGAGCGCCTGCCGCCCTGGCTCTGTGACGTCTGGGCCGCTGACAGCCGGCTGGGGGAGGGGGAGGGGCTTACTTGTTCAGCCGGCGGATGATGCCCTTGAGCGCCTGGAAGTCGGGCCGGTCCACGGGGTCCTCGGACCAGCAGCGGCGCATCATCTGCAGCACCTCCTCATCGGCCACGTCCTCCTCCGTGGCCGGACGGAACGGCGGCTTCTGGCCGTTCCGCACGTTTTCGACAATCTCTGCAACGGTGACGTCAGCGGTAATGGCGACGCGGCGACGTTCGAGGCCCACTGTCAGCTCTGCTCAGGCCAGCAATCGGTCGGCACAGGGCGGCGTCGGAGGCTGGTGACGCAGGCGAGGCAGATTGACCATTCACTGAAAAACCCTCGGATTTAGCGAAAATTGAGATGTGACTGAGCTGAGGCAGCGATTTTGCGACCTGACGTAATGCTGCTCTTGTTATTTTGTGTTTGTGTTGCAAGTTTCGTATCTGCATGCCTACCTATAATTCAAATTCCACCTTGAAAAGGTAGGGGTGGGGTTTCGATGCGTGGGACATATTTTGAAGTGCTTGCGTGATGGACTGGTGAAGACCTGACTCGTTCCAGTACTTCTCAAGAATTAAACATAAAGTTTGTCAGTCAATAGTTGCTATATGCTAGTCCTTACACTCACTAGCACTCACAACACAGCGCAATATCCACGTGCACAACCAACATGGGCTTTGCATCTTCATACCACGTGAGCGTATGAGCATACGTGACAGCAAACAGTCCACCTTATATTCTAGCTACAATCGGAAACAAGCCATAGTCACATGTTACGGAAATGATGTCATAACTAACCAATGAGAAGCGAGAACGACATCGAACGATGGTAAGCTGAACCGATCACAGAGTGTGATCGTCTTGCGATCCCGGAACTATCCAATGCAACAGGTGGCTGGTGAGGCGCTGACGGTGATTTTTAAAGGAAGTATCAAATCACATTAAAGATGGTACACATAGTTAAGTTTACGACGAAACACATGGCATGTGGTGAATGACAGGGGGGGGGGGGGGGCGTAACCTAGTCGGAACTAGGTCTGGCAATCACACGGTGACGTCACCACGGGAGTGCCCGGGGGCATTTACGTGTTTAAGTGCAAAACAACACTGATTTTTTGACAATCGTTTTCGAATGTTACTAAGGCGTTTTTTTCCAACGAAAAGTGTCTGAAGACCTTTATTAGTATGTCTCCTAGCCATAGCAAAACCCGGGGACAAAGCAACTGTGTCTGGTCACATATTCCAACACAAGCCCGGATCACTGTACCATGCCTTGCATCCAATAAAGGAGACTTTTACCACAATGTGGGGTGATTATCATCCTTGCTGTCACATATTGTTTCGGACGTGCGGTCCAGATGCGGGCTGTTTCGAGCCGGCGACACGTATAGACGAAGTCAGCTGAATGCAAGTGAGATATTATGGTGTTCAGCCGATACGAAGGCGATAGCAGCTGTTCTCAATGCTTGGAGAGGTACCTGACATTTTCCTAGCGTGATGACATGAGGAGTCGGAAGGACAGATGCAATGCCATTTTACCTGGTGTCTATAATAACAATGTCTGGAGCGGTTGTAATCACGTGTTTAGGGTCGAAAGCGATGGTTTCCACCTAGCTCATTCTCTGAGATATTGGAGATTACGTTCCCAAGCTATGGGAAGGTCTACAACAGTTATGTTTGCGCTCCCAGCAGTCATGTTTGCACTCATGGCCTCTAAAACGTCAGCTCTCAACGCCACAACACAACACATGGGTGTACACCAACTCAGCGGAACAGCCCACCTCCATTACACCGTTCAGATTTGATTTATACACCGTGCACAGGTCCGCATAATGTTCTTCACGCGTCAGGTAACGCATAGCATGTACCGCGCACCCGCCAGGAAGGCGTTGAGAAAAACGAACACTGTCGCCTACCTGCTCTAGTGAGCTGCCAGTGCCGCTTTGCCACAGAACCGCCGCATTGAGAACAGCCAGGTCACAGGAGACCATCTCAGTTCGGTAACATAATATCGCCACCTGTTGCTCCAGCGCAGTCAGGTCCAGGGAAGGAACTTCCGCTCCAGCCCAGTCCGGTCAGATGACGGGCCTCCTCCTCCGGTGCAGCAGATGACGAGCCGCCTCCTTCAGTGTAGCAGGCGACGGGCCGCCTCCTCCAGTGTAGCAGATGACGGGTCGCCTCCTCCGGTGCAGCTCAGTCAGATCACGGGCAGCCTCCTCCGGCGTAGCAGGCCACGGGCCGCCTCCTCCGGTGCAGCTCAGTCAGATCACGGGCAGCCTCCTCCGGTGTAGCAGACCACGGGCAGCCTCCTCCGGTGTAGCAGACCACGGGCCGCCTCCTCCGGTGCAGCTGGGCCACCGCTCACCTTGCAAACTGACGTCCCTTCAGCCTCTCGCAGTGCTGCAGAGCTTCCTTTTGGCGCACTCAGCTCAGAAAGCTGAGCCGGATGAACGTGCGCAGCCGAACAAACCGGCTAACCACCCGGACATCCAGGGGACCTGGCACCGCGCACAGGGTCGCTACCATCGACTCGATGACTCTCGGGCAGCGGGAGAGTCGGTCTGGTTCGAGATGGTGACGTGTACAGAAGGTCGACTCCACCGTTTTTAACTTCTCCATCCACTTGGTGGTTGGGGCACTCATACCGCCCGGCAGTATATAACACAACGGCAGTGCTGCCATCATTCAAAAGGCTGACAGTTGGTGGAAGGGACCAAAATCACCTGCCACACCCCATGACCATTCGCTCATCACATGGAATAAGTTTGGCTGTGTTGCAGAAAGCGCGGGGAAATGCGCTCTCTCCTGCCAACGGTCGCCAGAAACCGCCAGTACCACGTGCGGCTTGCGGCCGAGTCTTTTTCACACTTAACGCGATATTTTGGCAATCAGGGGACCTAGAACCGCGATTCCAACTGCAAATGATGCATAATGAAAATTATCAAATTTTAAATTAGCGCAGTGAAGCAAGCGCGCAAGCGCTTGTTAGCATCTGAAGACACATAATGAAACCGATTGCTGGTGCAGGTATTGCAATAAAACCTACAAACGAAACATGTAAATCTTACTCCTTCTGTATCTCTCTCCCAAGGCTCTGGAAAGGTCTTGCCTCCACTTGGAGTCGTCTTGAGGGGTTTGTCATGGGGTCCTTCCCCGGGTTGAGCAGCTCATACTTCAGATCACGTACATAATCTCCCGGAGAAAAGTGAAGGGAGCAAACTCTAGTGCTTTCGTTGGTAGTGATCTTATCCTTCTTAGCAGCCTTGGTCCAGCCTTTGGCTGCTTTTTTGTCACTTGGTAAAGAATGAGCAATAGCATTGGGTGGCCTCACACTTTTCTCATCTCCTGTCTTGCAATGGGGAACCAGACAGTATCTTCCCATTTTTTTCAAGCTTAGCACCTTCAAAATCTGTAAACATGCAATGTGGCAATGGCAAGATTGTAGATAACTTTTTTAGATTCTTACCAATGCTAAAATTCAAAATAAAGGTATGGTAATCAGGGGTTTAATTGAAACCTGAAGTCGTCACCTTTTCTTTGTGTTACATATGGACATTGCCCAGACCTTAGAGCAGGGATCCGAACATCACAGCAACATAACCAGTTCCAAACAATACCCCTGCAACCTGTCACCAGCAAAGGACAGACTGGCGGGGATCATTTCAAATGGAATTCCAAGGGAAATATTCCGTGGTCAGATTATGGGAGACGCCCATGCTCCGACACATAAATGAACATCCCGGTTTTGTTCCTTTCCTATTCGTGCAGCAAATATGTCTTTACAGGCTTTTCCCAGAAAAAGTAAAGGAGGTGTTGGGGGGGGGGGGGTGTTAAATGGGTTTGTTTTTCCATAGTTGTTTACGACACAGTTAATTTATTGGCTATATAACATAAGTAAAGAAGCCTCACCAAAACACATCGAGATGGCATATTCAAGTTGCAGGCAAGGCAATGTTTTTGTTGAACGTCTCTACTGCGCAAGAACTGTAAAATTGCCAGTTTTTAGTCACTAGTAGAACATTGCTGGGTGCTATTTTATAATTACGTAACATCACGTGATAATGCTTTGGCAGAAATTATAACTCATCAAAATTGTGTTAAAATTACATCACTTGTACTTTTATTGATTACAATTGATATATAGGTGCTCACCAGGCCAGCATTGTCTCAAACCTAGTGTATTTTGGTCTAGATCCTGCCGTCCAACCTGCTCTTATAAGGTCTTGGTGAATGATATTCTTCGCAATAGGGTTAGGTGTCATCTGGTGTCTTTCTTGTCCTACAGGATTCTGAAGATTCTAGAGATTATATGTCTGAAGACATCTTGAGGCTTATAAGGATTCTGGATGTTTACTGCCGTGAAATGCTATTCATTACCTTACGTCCCCCCAAGGTTTTCTGATGAAATGTCTCCGGCACATCGTGTAGCGCTCAACTTTTGTTCACATTATGGGACATTCATTGCGCAGGTTTTGACACCAAAAACCTGTCTCCAGCGCGGTGGGCCGACAGCGTCAAATGAACGGAACCATCCAGCATCAATATGACTTAGATACAGCATAACATTGACTTATTGTTTCTTGTTTGAAGATACTGAAGCAAGCATCAGATACGACAAAGCTTCCTTATAACTCCTTGGTTTACTAGTGGAAAAGACTGCTACAAACAGCACAATTCTCTGTTAAGTAAAAATGCTTCTCAATGCGCGATGGTTTGATTAAGTCATGTACCCTGCAAAGCATTGATCGGGACCCAATTGACGTCCGTTTTACCTGGAAATCGCGCTCACGAACGCCAGGTATGAGCGTGTCGACAATTAAACTTGTCTTGTCCTTGATCGCCGCATGGCAAATGGAATGACAAAATTTGAATGATGTCATTATGACGTCATGGGTGCCTGGGTGACCTGAAACAGCCTCTCCAAAACAGTCTGCTTATCTCCCCAGGCGTGTAGCTCAGACACTAAAGGTTATTAGATCTTGAGAATGATAGGGCTCTAAACTGCACCGAATGATATTCAACATGGCTATTTCATTTCAAAAACCCACATAAATTTAGAACACTCCCCTCAAACGCATGATGATGAAAGAACATGTAAATGTACTCAGTATTAAAGAAGAAACATTCCTGATTAAGCTTCATGTCGCTGCGTGTAATAAATACGCAAATATTGACATACAAAGCTGAAAAAC